ACTGTACACAATTCTTCCACTGATTCCGGTTGCGGGCCATGTCTTCAAGAGTCCTAAGCCATTGGCACTCTTCATCTTTGGGTCCCCATCCTGGAAGACGTACAGACCCAACAGCGGATAGACACGACGTCAGCGATTTCATGTGTTGCCGCCAAGTGGAAAGTTGACCACCACGCGGTCGCCTCCAGCCAGGTCCCTTGACGAGCGAATAGTGCGCGACGCGGTAGACGCTCAGGTGCCATGCGTAGGACGTGACTGAGCCATCTCAACTGGCGTAACAAAACAAGTTTGTTGAAGGGAATACTCGCATTCCCCAAGATGCGACGTCGAACGTCATTACTATTAACTCGATGTTGCCACCAAACACGAGCGATCCTCCTTAAGCAACCCTTATCGAACGCAGAAAGACGACGCATGTCTTCCACGCGAATCGGCCAGGACTCGCATCCATACAACAATACTGAGCGAACTGATGCGATGTAAACGCGGCTCTTTGGTGAGAATGAGACGTCGCGACGACGCCACAAATGCCTCAGATTGACAAATGCTGATCGAGCTTTAGCGATACGAAGAGAAACTTCTTTGCTGATGGTGCGGTCAGCAGAAACACAGCTTCCAAGGTAGATGAAACTATCTACCTGTTCAAGTTGTGCACCTTCGAGAGTGAGTACGGGAGCAGATGAAAGCCAATCCTTGAGCAGTACTTTACACTTCGATGGGGCAAAGCTCATGCTTCAACCGCCAAACGATCCATAATGAGTTGCATACTCTGAGGATCGATATCATCAGCATAATCTAAGTCAGTCACGCGCTCACCCGGTAGAAGCTCTAGGCCAAAATATTGGAAACCTTCTAGAGCATTCGACAGAACGTCTTCGATTGCAATGTTGAAGAGGAATGGGGACATAGAGCAGCCCTGTCGCACACCGCTATTGACAGCGAATTGCGAGGAAAGCTTGCCATAGACCCTCACTCTGCCGGATGTATGAAGTTAAAGTGCTCGTAAGATTGCGGCATATTTCTCTGGAACACTGCTAAATGTCAAAGCAATATTTCTCCTCGAATTCAGGTGTAATGGTTTGAACATATAATGTGCCTTCTGAGAATGCGGAAACTGTGACGTTTGATGTACGTATACTACCTGATGCGATGCAACATCAATCTGTGCCAATTGGTGCCTCTGTACCAATTAGTAAGAGGCATGAATACGACGACATTTTTCTTTCTTTTGGATTTATGGAGTTCAGCGATTGTCCACAATGTGTCTTGTATAGCATACATCCTCCGAACAGTCCCACGGTGCCTGTAAAAATGCAGCAGCATTTTGAAAAATGCGTGCGGACTGCAAAGACATAAAAAGAAGTACTTTGAGTGCAGGCGAGACGAACTGTTGAACGCACCAAAGTGCGTTTCACACGTTCCAGACTAAATGAAAAGACTACTGAAGCATCTTACATAGTTAGTTATCTTATTGCGCTGACAGGAGAACCTCACACAATAACCAAGAAACATATCAAGCCATGTGCAGTAGAAATGACTAGGTTCATGCTGGATGAAAAATCGGCAAAACAACTGTTTGTAATACCACTATGAAATGTTACAGTATCTTGAGAAATTGAGACACTAAACAACTGCTGATAAGGAGGATTTAATCTCATACCTCAGGTAGACTCACTTCACTTCAAATTGGTGAGTCGACAGATGTGGCAAGACTTGCCGTGCTGGTTGTGTTTTCACCTACTATCCCTGAAAGATACGCTTTTGTGTAAACCTCTACCGATGAACACTGGTGGCGATGAGATATTCCACCGCGAATATTTTTTGAAGGAAAATAACACACCACGGGACAACTGCATCGATATTTGCCCTGGTGGTGGCAAAGCAATGGCAGAAAATGTTGCTAATGTTGTGACAAAGCTCAAAACAGCTGCAAAAACTTGCGCAGCTATTCAATGTATTCTTCATCAACAAGCGCTCGCCAGAAGAAAAATGCCACCCAGTCTCAAAACTGACCTCCTTGAGGCAGTAAAAATAATTAGTTTCATTAATTTTCGGCCTCTAAACAACTGACGATGTAGAAACCGTTCACACATCTTTACTGATCCACATTGAAGTAAAATGGCTCTCCTGTGCGAAAAGATTACTGCGTTTGTTAGAATTACGCACAGAAGTCTTCGGTTTCTTCATGGACAACAATTTTGATTTACTGTTCCGGATGACTGTCAGGAAGCGGTTGACCTATTTATCTGATATCTTCGCATGTGGCGTAGATCTAGCACTGAAAAGAAAATCACCGACCATGTTCAACGCAACTGATCAAATACGAGGGTTCAAAAAAAATTAGGATTTTGAAGCTATTTCGGTTCGCAGTGGAAATCTTGACGGATATCCTGCAATAAATGACCTTTCCGAATAGATGCACAGACCACAAAAATCCTATAGAATCTATCTGAGATAGTTGTGTAGCGTTCGGAAGATCTTGTAGGAGACTAATCTCAGTATTTCTTCAGCTTCGCTGAAGAAAATTTAAGGAATTTTATGGGTCATGAACCCATTTACTTGCACGAAAAACACTTCATCGACGTGATATCAGATTCTTCCCTTCAGGAAGTGTTTCACAAGTATCCTGTCGCTGTGCTTCTTCCATTTGGCACAACCAACTGTGTGAAAATGCATTTTTGCATTTTACTTATACAACAACAAAATACCGCCATAAACTTGAAGCTGAAACAGACACGTGGTTGCGTCTTCTCTCAATAACATCAAACGATTTAGTGCTGCATGTCAGAAACAATTTCATCCCACAAATTAAGCTTTAATGTACGTTGTATTTCGGCATGAGTTCAACAGCTTCCATTTATCACCAAAATTAATGAACACCCGTATTAATCCAGTGTACAGTAATGAGCATTTCCTGGACACCGCGCCTCACTCTCATTTTATTAGTGCCTAGTCCTGTTGATTAACCATATGTCAGGAGGTTCGCCGTGGAGGTTTCACTACAAGGGGGTACGCATGTCAACATGTTTGAGAACTCCTTGTCTACGGCAAGCTTTCCTCGCCCCCCCGCTGTCAATCGCTGTGTGCGATAGGACAGCTCCTTGTCCCTATTCCTCTTGGACTTTCGATCGAGGGCGTCTTGTCGAGAGTTCCAATGTATTCTCAACACTTTGGCTTATAGCTTCTACCGAGTGATCTTGCGATCGACTTGGACTATGTTGATAATTTCCCTTGCTTGGTAACGATCCGCAGAGTATGGAACTGTTTCTGAATCGTTTGGCATTTGGAGCTATTAAATATGGCATGAGTCTCGTCCCTTCGAAGGGTAAAGTGCTGCTCCAGGATTGGGCCGCACGTGCTACCTTGCTCACCTTTGATGGCGTACAGCTTGGACAGGTAGATAGTTTCGTCTACCATGAAACTGTGTTTCTGCTGGTGGCATCATCAACAATAAGGTTTCTTTCTGCATCACTCTTGGTCGTACATAGCTATGTTCGGGGCCAACCGTGTCCTCTGCTATGTTCCTAACTTGCATGACAGTGAAGGATCAGACGCGCTATATCACAGTTTGCTTACAAATCATGATGGTCCCTATCTCTCCCCTGTGGCCTAGTGGCATAAGCTGACTGGCGATGTAAGCCGCTGGTGGTGAATCCGATGAATGCGCACTACTAATGATGCCAAAAGGCTAAAATTGCAGTCTAGTGCTTTTCCGGTCATGTGGACGACTATCTGATTTGGAAGTTGGCTGCGAATAACCCTCAAATAATTATCTCAAAATTCCCTACAAATGAGTATATTATAAGGTATCCGCCTTAACAGTTTCTAAATCCTGTGCCGTACATAACTACTGTCAGTGGATGTCGTGCCTTCCGGGGCCAACCCTGCCCTCCGCAACCTTCGTAACTGGCATGGTATTGGAGGATAAAACGCGGTACCTAGCATTTAGCTTGTTAATCATTACGGTTCGAAATTGTGCACTGTTGCCTAGTGGCATAAGCTTCTGACTGGCTGGACAAACCGCCGGTGTTCATGGGTTCGAATTCTGGTGGATCCGTTGGATGCGCATTACTGATGATGCCAAAAAGGCTACATTTTCAATCTAGTCCTTTTCCGGTCATATAGAGAACTAGCTGATTTCGAAGCCGGTGCGACGAACTCTGTTACTTACAGTCGGCAATTGTGGCATTGTCGAGACGTCTCCATCATAATAAAAGGCCGCTTTTACAATGCCTCTGTTGGTTCATTGTTGTTGAATGGGAGCGAGTCCTGGCCAATTCGCTTGGAGATCACACACTGTCTTACCGCTTTCGACAACGGTTATTTGAGGAAGATCGCTCATGTGTGGTGGTAACACCGAGTTCACAGTGATGAGTTTAGACGTCCCATCCTGGGGAACTGCGAGTGTTCCCTACAACAAGCTGGTTTTGCTGCGCCATTTGAGATGGCTCGGTCACGTCTTACGCCTGGTGCCTGAGCGTTTGCCGTGCGGCGCCTTATTCGCTCGTGCTGTATTGAACTGAGGGCGACCGCGTGATGGTCAGTCTTTTATTTGACGATAACACATACAATCGCTGACGCCACGTTTTGCCACTGTGGGACCCTGCGTCCCCTTGGAGGGGGGACCCAGGGATCAGGAGTGTCAGTGGCTTAACATGCAACCGGAGTTAGCGGAAGAACTGTGTGCAGAATTGCATTAATTAACATGTTTAATACCTCAAACTATGATAATCACAAGACGAAAAATCGGCGTATGAAATGCAATAAAAACGGTTCGTTCTGTTTCGGATCACATTGTACTTCCCTATGATTCCCATGTAGTTTTTCGTTATCCCTATGTCCACTTCTTGGACTTGGTTTAATTTATTTTTACATATATTTATGGGGTGCGTTTACGGGCATTTAATGGTTTTTCGGTGCACGTAGATCGCCTAATTTAACGGTGCTCGCCGCATTTTGTGAATTCAGCGACAACAGGCTCTCCCCTTTCTGCTCCTCAGAGGAGAATCCACTGGAACGTGTTGTGGATCTGTGCGCTGCACCCGGAAGTTGGTCACAAGTATTGTCCAAACGTCTTTGGGAGGTCAGGGCTCCTGAAGAACGCGAACGTGTAAGTGTTCAGCATGCCCAACGCGGCATATATTTTCTGATGTGCGTTACATGCTAATTAACTCGACTGAGTAAAACCGCTTGTGAACTCTCACTGACAAGATGCAGTTGATGATGATAATCTACAACAGACTGCTGTCATGAAATCAATACTATCGACTGAGAATAAGCTCAAATGCCAGCTTATTTCTCTTCTTGGATCGTTTATACGAATAGTCACTTCATGTCAGCAACCGTATTTTACCTAATACTAAATACTACAGTCTGCACGGTCGGTCAGTTCATCTTGGGGATTTGGTGTCATCATCATATTGTCGTCACTGATCAATCGCCGGATGGTCGCTCAGCGTAGACAGTTGCAAAGTGATCAGTAGATGGGTCACGAATCTTGGCAGTACCCGAAAATCGTACCATAAGTGCTTCATATCACTAGACACCGTCGATTGTAATTGTTTCTCACACAAACTGTTTGTTATTACTCTGAATGTTCGCATTTTACTCGGTATTGCACTCGTTGTGAATCTGACGCCCATCTGGTTCACTTTGTTATGTTTAATCCTTTGCTGCAACTATGCTCAGCGGTGCACGCGATATACGCAAAATGAGCACTAGCCTTCCTATACACCGCCTCGGAGATTCTTTCGCTTGCCATAAAAGTGGCGCCTCTTGGCAGCACATTTAAATCGTCGGTTACCTTTTTCACCGAACATCATTTTTGACTATGTACATAAATATGATGTCTATTCTCGCACGAACAAGACACGTTATAATATGACATGCTATGTATGTATCAGTTTTGCAAGCATACTTCGACAGATTCTTTGTTCAAACAGTTTTCTAGGTCACTGAGACCGTCCCACTTCATCCACCTTTTGTATACATTGGCTGAGATACTGTGCACTATTGTTTTTGGACACGAACCTTTTCTCGTCAACTGAAACCAGTTACGAAGAAAAGTTTTACTAAAACTTTGCCCTGTTGATTGGATGCAATCCCTGAGGCTTCTGTTCAACATTATACGATGGTTTACCTGGAAACTTGGTCGTTTACCCAATTGATGATAGTATACTTTTTCATTTTTTCTACCCTTTTATAAACTTTTGCTTTTTGTTGATGTCAGTTTAGTCCACTTACAGTTGCTAATATAAAATGCTGAAAATGCATCCAGTTGGGTACGTACCCTTTGACTTGGCAACTCTTATATGTACAGTGTGCTTCGTCTCTGTCCGTGTTCTGACCTCACTTCTAATTTGTTTTTTTTTTCATCGGCCCCATCATATCATTTGAGTGAGCTAGCTGATCTTTTTGATCATTTTCCTCCTTCTCACTCAATGTAGTGGAGCACGTGTATTCTCCGGAAGTTGACCTACCGGTCAACCTGGCCAAGTGCTCGTTTATGAGTCTGGAGAGAACTGATAATAAGGGTGAATACACTTAGGCTGGCCACACGCTGCATCCCCCGAGTTCCCTAAAGGATCTAGGTGTACTCTGACGCTGTGATCTGAAGTCTGTCGACAAAACGAAAATACTGTACGGAAACGGGTTACACCTGCTTTGGGCACTTAGACGCAGCTTCTGTACTTCATATGAAGAGATTACCACCCGTCCGTTCTCTTTCATGATAAGACCGGTGCCTGAGTACAGCTCACCCGCTTATTGCCCGATCACAATAGGGGAGGTGCAGAGACTGGGGCGGGTCTATCATGTAGCTCCCCGGCTCATCCCCAGTTTACGGGGTATGTTGTACGAGGACCGATGTAAGAGACTAGAGCTTTATACCTTGTCATCTCGTCGGCTTCGAGTTGATCACATTATGGCGCACCGGATACTGCACACGGATCACTTCCCTATGTTGAGGCCGCTGCTGCACGTTCGCGCACCAAGCAGCACACGCGGACGCCGGTACAAACTAGTGGTATCGGGTTTGAAGCGTATCGTTCACCCTCTATTCTTCGAGCTTCGAATGGCGAAATATTGGAACAAGTTGCCGGAAACGTTAGTCGATGTGAAATCGGTGTCGGAATTTAAGAGATTCCTTGACGCCCACTTCGCGTATTACAGATAAAGGGAACGTACCGCATCCGCATAAGATGTAGTGTAGCTGAAATATCCTGCCACCGCGCAGGCATCAGCGACGTGATTCCGCGCATGTGCCCGATCCACTTACGATGGAGCAACACAGATTTTTATCCTTCGCTCTCTATCCCCAGTACTCAGTAATTATGTTCAACTTGTCCAGTTTCTGTCTATTCGTCTACCTGTCTTTCTGTTTTGAGGGACCCATTGCTCGTCTCAGTGACTGGCTACTCGATTCTTGATCCTGGTGCGCGTGCACCAATGCTCGGATACTTCTCGAATCGCAGCTTGGATGCAGTTTCGAGCGACTTGTATCCAGCTGTTGACTGGCTTTACCTGTCAAGAGCTGTACAGTGCTTCTTGCTTTCATGGTTACATCTTCATAAACTTAAGTAGGGACTACTTTCACAATAACTTGTTTTTAATCGCTAGGCGTCTTTTATGCTTGTGCTTCGACGAAATTCACCAGAGCACACGGTTCTGCGAAGTTGAGGCACCAAGCAGCCGTCGGCTGCACTGAACCCTGTTGGTTGGAGCCAAAACACCTCCAGTCATCGCATTCTAATCGTACACCCGTGCTACCTCCCCGCATTATCGTTCCCTGTGACACATGGATGTTCCCTCGCCTGATCACGGCACTGGTTTTTCACTTTTTTTGTCAACGGCACGAACTGTACACCGACTCGTTCTTTCTGACGAACGTTTTCCGCCCGCTACACTCACTGCTGACTGGTTGCACAGGAACCAATCCGAGGTCACTAATTCTTATCCTGTATCTACCGTATTCCTTGCTCATGACCTATGTATGCTTGGTCTGCGTCACTAGTATCATGCGAATACCGTGTCTGCACTATGGCTATAAAGATGTAGCCACACCTTCTGCCGCATCGCGGGCATCACCATTCACACCATATCGTTTCACATCACTTAGTTGTGTCTCGTCGTCTCACACAGTATCCATGTGTTGCATAGGTAAAGATTGTTGCAGTGGACCTCCAAGCCATGGCACCGATACCCGGCGTCATTCAGCTTCAAGGTGACATCACTAGCGGCAAAACCGCCAAGGAAATCATCAAATGCCTTTCTGGGGAATTCGCACAGCTGGTGGTCTGCGATGGCGCACCGGACGGTGAGTCGCACCCGCTTTTCATAGACTAACATCCGTTCTGCTGGGCATTGTTTGATACATCCTTTGTACTGTTGATTACTACATTATGCCATATGCGTGTTACCGTATGCACGTCATATATTTCTCTTAAAGGATTTTTCTTTACGTTTCAGTCACTGGTTTGCACGATCTTGACGAATACGTGCAGTCACATCTGATCTTGGCAGCTTTGACCATATGCGCACGCATATTGCAACGCGGTGGAACTTTTGTCGCAAAGGTCTTTCGTGGGCGGGATGCCGGACTTTTGGGCTCTCAACTTCGTTGCTTGTTCGAGGGGACTGTGTCCTTTGCAAAACCACGATCCAGCCGTAACTCCAGCCTCGAAGCCTTCGTGGTTTGTCAAGGTTATTCAGGTCCTCGGATGCGCATGTCTTCAGTTTCGCCAAGCGACAGTGAAGATAGGGAAAAAGAGGAGGAGGAGGAGGAGGTGGTCGAAGAGTTCGCACCCCTTTTGCTTCAGTGGTATAACGAAGACAACTTCGAATCAGTGCGTATACACGATGTAGTCGATCGCTGCTTGTTTTGTCTTATATTTGAGACCTAAATGGGTCATTTTAACCCAAAAGGGACATGGTAGTGCTGATATACGATATGTACCTCACATGGGTTTTGTTACTATCGAGCGTTCTTTATATTCTCTGGTACACTTTAAGCTGTGCAGATGCGTCCATCCTATCCCTGTCTTCCACCATGTAGTTCGGTCACCAATCTGACAACTTGCTAACACCACATTCGATTGTCCCGGCACTCACTCGATTTGACTGGTGTCTCAGATTCATGCTTCTTATGATAAATTAGGGCGTAATAGGTTCTGAGGTTAAGAGATACTACTGTTACTTTCCTTTTCATCAGCGGTCACACGCCGTTGGTTTCTTTGTTATAGTTGATCCTCGACATTAAGTCTTTGCCTCACTGCCCATAACTAGTTGGATGAACGCATCAAATTGATGAAATTTACCTCGTTTTGTGGCGTGCGCTGCTCGCTAACAGCATCATGTGAGCTTTGTTACCTGATTTGTTTAGCAAACCGTGCTCATCAGCTGTTGCTGATTTTTGTGCGTCACCCGATTCCCCTTGGTACTCAGTAGTTTTTCGAATTCAGAAAAACGTGGGCGAGTTTTTCTGCTTTATCGTTCAAAACTAGTTATTCTCCACCTTGTAGACGAAGTTAGTAGCCAGTCTCTCCTCCGTGCTCGACGAAGGATTTTACTATATTTATCTCGCTGTTCTTGTTTATCCTTCTATCGAATGATTCTCTCAATCTGAAACGGTCATCGCCTCTACCTTAGCTTCCTTTTTGTTTAGGTAGTTTTTGAGACAGTTCTGGTCGGACCATTCTTGTTGATTCCATTTGTGGATTATGAGTAGCTGGCTAATTGTACTACATTTTAACGTCGTCTTTGCTATGGTTCTCCTACAAGAATGTAGAATGTGGATTGCTTTTATACTCCTTCAACATGAACACATCAACTTGAACGCATCAAAGTACTCTTTTACCTTGTTACTTCGCACTGTTGGGAAGCGGTGCGCCTCAACTTAGATTAGTTCACAGACTGTGTATGTTGGACAAAATTCCTACCGCCTCACGCTTACAACTACCTGATCCTTGACGTATTCATTCACAGAAACCTCGCTTATTTATACCCTTACCCGTTGGTGCCTCTTTTGTACAATGACACGGCTGAATTCGAAAAGGCGGGCAGGTGCATAAGTGTGACTCCCACGATCAGTGGACAAAGTTGAATAGTTCTCGCCGATTCAAGCGCAGGTTACTTGTTCCGACCACCGCTTCGCACACTGCACCTCAGCGGCCAATCCAGTTACACAAGATGAGAGCACTGATCAGCAGATTATTGACTTTTTCCTGCAGCTAGAATGGGCTAGTCGTGGTCTACTATGTGCGTTGTTTTAGACCGAGAGCTCTGCACCACTGCATGTTTCATGGTTACTACTAAATCTCCGCATATGCGCTAACTGCCTGCGAGGGGGGTTCGGTGAATGACTACTTGACATATCAGTACCTTAGCCCTCGTTAGAGATTTCAATGTCACAGGTTGCTTGCCTGGTGTCTTATGAACGTCGCCTCTACGGCCTTCATGCACTCAAGGAGAACAGTTTGGGGACAGTTCTCACAGTGTGCGGAGACGATAGTCCGCTTCAGGCAAGCAATAACTCTGCGGAAAACTGTCTAGCACCTGGCGTTCTCTTTCGCCAACGCATGCGTGGTCTTGTCTCGGTCACATTGCGTTTAGTCTCGGACGGCGGAGCAGCATACGTGACTACGGCTCATTTTGCTCGCCTGACGTTGAATAACATCATGTGCTGATCTGTGGTACCATTTACATGTGCATCCACGAGCGCCGAAACCAAAAGTGCCGTAAAATTGGTACAAATAGATTATCTGGGTCACTCATCTTCGCTCTCAGCCGCAATCGCCTGTGTTCCACTCTACAATGTCTGTAAACCCTTGATGTTCCTTGCAAAAACCGCTAATCTCTTTCACCCAATTAATCTGTGGCCTCGACCGTCGGCCGCTAGCACCGTCGAACTGTTTCTTCACCGCACTGTCCCATCGCCATCAGATCGCAACAAACCGCACCACTTTCTTAGGCTTTTTTAATTTCGTGGTTCCAAGCCTCACTTTTCTTTTCAAGATTTTATGAGAGACGAGTCTGGTTCACATTATTTACCTAAGCCTTTCATTCTCTTTGATAGCTAAATCCCGAGGATCAGTGCATCTTGCCGTTTGTCGCATGCGGCGATCTGTCAGGATACGATGCCGATCTCTGCTACACACTGGACGCTGACTACGTTTCCCTACCCCCGGTGCAAGCACCAATTGATCCAGCTTACTCCGAAGTGTGTCGAAAGGCGCGCGCTGCTCGTTCAGCACAAACGAAAAAGGACAACATTCCGAGAGCAGCCGATCAGTTCGTTGACTCCGTTTTACTAGATGAAACGGTCGCAGCGCTATCCGACTCACTCCACGTGACGGATTGACTTACTGTCAATACAATGTATGTGTACGGACAACCATTTTATAGATTCCATAAACCCATTCCAACCAACTTCTTGTTTCTCCACTTTGTACTTAATTTTAACATGCCTGTTATTTTACAACTGACTCCATATCTGCTCATAACTCGATGCCTATCGTGAGCCCATTGTGGAGCGTGTCTCGTCTCATCTCGGCGATTGAACTGTGCGTGCTTGCTTGGTTTGGTGCCGCATGTCTTGCTTTTCGTTTCGTATGAACTGTCAGTTTTGAGCTATATCTACACTGTCTTCGGTCATCCGATGTTGGTCCTCATCAGCGTCGACGGCAACTGTAATAGCAGTGCATCATTAGTTCAACCAATGCTTCAGTCACACAACCATGTTTATCTGTAGAGTGATGATTATTTAGAGGGGTAGAAATGTGACCTAGTGTGGAACTCAAATGCAAATATTCATGGTCAAAACACCTACTTCTTGTTAATAACACGGTCCCAAATAATTCCTTATCGTGCGAGGATAGTGCTTTCGCTATGCGATTTTAACAGGGATACCTCAGCATCAGACGCGCCTACAATAGGCGATCCAGCTAAAACACGACATTAAACGCGCCGCTACTACCGGTCCGGAGTTATGTTGTGTAATATCACAACACAACGGTTGCGAGCAGTTAGTTACATACCTCCCCCTACTACTCCTCTGTAATCAGTACGCAGGCCAAACTGCTTATAATGCCATAGATTAATTGGCGGCTTACGTTTCGTAAGTTGGTCTCTTGGTGAGGAGACTGCCCTGTCCTCTGCATGGTAGTAACGCACAAGTCAGGGGATAGTAAGCGGCGCTATATCACATCTAGTAACTTATTCACGATGATCGTTGCCGTCCCGCGTAGCTCAATAGTCTCAACTACGGACTGGCAACAGTCGAGTTGCGGGTTCGAGCCCTACCAGGATCCGATGGAATGCGCACTGCTGACGATACCCGGAAGGATGAAACGCGCGCACAGTGCTTTTCCGGGTGTGTGATTGCTGTCTGAGTGAGTCTAGATGTGACGAATATCTACCTATACCAGTTACCTACTAGTGCGATCCGCTGCAAAGCTGCTGCCCGATGTACGACGGTAGATGGGTAGTTAGTTACGCATTCCGCCTCCAATGTGTCACGAGCCGACGAGCATACACTGGCTAAGGTATGCGATCTCATGATGACGCAGCATACGAATCCTTCGACTTTACTTTCTTAACTCATTTGTTTATGAGTGATCCATGTCTGCGTAATGTGGACTGTCTGTACTTAACAGTCAGCTACCACTTGTTTGCCCTGAGGCCTCGTTTCTTCTAGTGTGCACTTGGAATGAGCCATGTATGCTGTGCACTGCAACCTCATGTGAGTCCGGTTGAAGCGGTTGCTCTTCGCAAACTCTTATCCCCAGCCTTGAGCAGAAAACTTTGACATAGAGACGTATTGTACGAGCAAGTACCGAATCGTTGCAAGTAGTCTAAAACTGGTACATCTTATAAGTAAATAAACGGTAGGTGCCTCGACAATGCGAGGCACGTCTGCATGCGCATGATCATGGTAAAACTGCCAGCGCAGCCATCGCCTTGTGTATGTCTGGTACGCATGATTCCCTCCATAGATAGACAGGAATGTTGATGCTGTGTGTGTTGAAGCAGTGTGGGCCGGCTCTGTTGATGAAATGGGGCTCTCATCCACATGCCTCCCGGTCTTATTCCTTCTGGTTTACACTGGATATGGGGTATGTGGTTGGAGCTGTAAGTGATGCAGAGGAAGCCATCCATGGTCCCTCTGTGGGCGCAGGCGTTCTGTGGCTGTCCCCATGAAGGCTGCATTGATAGACAAGTCCGGAAATGGATTCTGCCAACCATATGCATCTAGCAGGGTAATTCCTTGGATTTGTAGATGTGCTGCTGCATTTGTGATTGGGTTCGGTCGGGTCGTCAGCGTGAGAAAACATCATAGGAAATCTTTAGAGTGTGTAACTGGCTTCTACGAAGTGGGTTACATCATCTGGATAGGCAAGAAGCAGTGACTTTATTTAATGAAGAATCACATCTGCTGCATCGCAGTGTTATTAGACAGACATTTCTGGCTTTTTATAGGGGAAACGCTTACCAAACAGAAACCTACTACAACCGGACCATTTGGTGGAATGACTTTCACCCGGACCGCCCAGCTGGCACCACGGGAGGTTGTTAGGTGATCCAACCTTGGGATGTTACCAAAAACTGTGGTCTACAACCTATCCAACGAATTGGGTGATAGGTATGTGTGTCACATGAGGTACTTGACTTCTCCGGAAACGATGATGCTTCAGCTGAATCAACTCGTTTCCTCATTGACGTAGTGGGTTATTAAGGGGGATTTTACTTTTCTCCGAACAGAACCAATCTGTGTTCTCTACAGTGGTACGCATCGTAATTGGTTGGTCATGTAGGAACTCTCACTAACCAGTTATCACTTAACGTTTAAAAGTTCACCTATTTCGGGTATAATGGACCTTGATCTTTCGTCACCTAGCCTGAAGGCATCAACGCTTCAGCGATGCGTAGTGCGACAGCTTGTCTTGTAAATAACTAGGGATCGTTAGGCCTACTCCCGTGAATTTCCTCGTGTCATATCAGCTGTGACTGTTGGATCATGTTAATGATTCCTGGCGCCGCAACTGTGTTGCAGGCATATCGATTGAAAGAGAACATACGTTGTTTTACTTTAACGTTCTACGAGGTTCCACAAACGGTGGTTGCTTGTGTCATCCAGCGATGCTTGTGTTCTTTCCTCAGTTTTCCGTCTTCGCTTTGGCATGTGTCCATCGAATTGCTTCTACTTGTTTCCATTGTATGCGTGCTGACACCGTGTTCTCACTCATGCCTCGGACTTAGCACGGCTGATTTATCTCATGTCCGCTATCGCGCATCTCTTTCCTGTTGACTCGTTTGGATCATGGAGCTCCGAGGAAGGGTATCTTTGTCGCCTCCGCTGAGCTTCCGCCAACCGCATTTCAGAGCTTACTACAGAGGAGTTCTACTGGCATTTGGTATCACTAAACCATACTTGTTGCCATCTACATGAATGGTCAGTTGGTCAAATTATCGGGGTCAGAAGATCTTCTTGGTGGTCATTTCTATCTCTGCGCTTGTTATGTTCGCAATGCGCCCATGAACTCATCAGATCTCTATATTGTCAACATAGTTCTCCAACACAGACGTTTGCATTGTGTAGCTTAGTCTTCACTGAGCTCGAATCGACCACATTATCACTTACAGATGACACACTTCAGCGCAACATTACTTGTCTATCCAGAGCACTTGCTTCCATTCCATGTATAATTTGTAGGGACTTTGTACAGCGCTCACTCTTCCGTTTTCACCTAAGAGCACATCTTCCAGACTGCTTGCTCGTCACCTATACCCGCACTTGGGAGACACAGCAACATCAATGCGAATTGTGCCGTCAGCTCTCAGTTATAAACGAGGGAAATAAACCACATTCCGATTGATATCATCTTCAACTACAGAAATTTCTGTAACTATTCACTCGTTCAACTCAAAACGTCTGAAAAATGGATAGATCTTGTTCTCTATTGAAGCATTCAGTCCCATCGGCATGGATCTTCAGTCGAACATTCCGAATAGGCACTCTGTTCTATCGTTAGCAGGGTCACTCGATTCCACCTGGAACTTTGACCTTATAAATTCAAATATCTTTGAGACCCCGTTTAAACTTTTGCTGCTAAAGCAGAGTGAGACACCTCACACCTGCTACTAAGCATCATGTTGCTTTTTTGGTTTTTTTTTGTATTCTGTCATGTTTTGTACCTCACTTTTTCATATTGTTACTTTTTGTATTGCGGCACATTAGCTGAAGTGCGTTTATCACCAACCAACGTGCAATGATGATGATGATCCTTCGCAAGCGACTCACGGATGATTGAGCCTACCTTTTTCGACTTTATTCTGCTTGGTAGTGGTACCCTCTGGCTGTCAGCTTCTACTCTTTATTAGTCGCCAACCCCACCTTCGAATTGCGCGCGTGCACCACATTTCAACAGCTCGCTGGTTCTCGGGAGAGTCGGTTATCTACAACTTACGTCGGCGTCTACCTCGGTAGAGAGCAAATTAGTCAAATTCATGATCGTGACTCTTGACTGTATTACTGTTTTCATAACAGCTGATTTCATTTCTGTGTGACACCACCCAACTTTAAAAGCTTAGTGGAGTAGTTTCCTTACCTTCTAACCTGTCCCCACTGCAACTTATCGGAGACTTTTCTTAGGATCTGTATAGGGCCGTCCCACCTTTTCGTAGCACCGACTGAGATTCGTGACCCGATGGCTGACGTTACAGCATCTAGTGTGGTACTGCTTCCGGACGCTAGACTTGAAATCCAGAACATGCAGACAGCATGGCTTTCCTTATGTCTGGCCCATCTACTATTCCTGTTGGTGGATTATACTAACAATTTGGATCCACAGAGCGTGTATTATGTCTGACGGTCTACCCAATGAGTAGTCCTCAATTCCACCAGTCACAATTTGTTAACAGATTCTCTGATTCGGGGACGAATTTTTAGTTGAACTCTAATCGCTTCGCTGGTTTAATCATGCTTTCAGAACGCCTGTCGATCCCACATTGAAGCGTATATTGGTTGCTAGTACTGCACCTAACCAAGTAATGCCCAATGTGCTTGTTTACTGGTATATCGGAAATGCGAAGAAACTACTTCTTGTCTCCTGAATCTGGTCCTTTGGGTCACCCATATAAATTATCAGAAGCCCAATCGGACGCTAGTGAAGATTGTTCCTCTGCGGCACCCACTCTCATGCGTTTGACGCTCAACTTTTCTTTTCGGCGTTAGTGACGCTCTTTTGTCCTTATAAATGCTATCATTTGTTGTTGCTATTGTTAATAATTATTAAAACTATTTCAGCAAACTTCATCCACGACCTGCATCGGCCGTCGCGTAGCTTTAAAAAGTGTTACGTT